TGCAACTGCTGAAAAAGTTTTGGAAAACTATAGTGGCATTTTGATGCCTAATACAGAACAACCCTTTCGCCTGAATTGGGCAAGTTTTAGCACAGGTGAAAAGCGTTCAGAAAATGGTCCTGATCTTTCTATCTTTGTTGGAGATTATTTGTTGTACGAAACTTTTGCTAATAAATATCCTTCTGTTAAAGCTGCAAAAGTTGTAATTGATGCCAATACTGGTCGATCAAAAGGCTATGGTTTTGTGAGGTTTGGAGATGACAATTAGAGGACACAGGCCATGACGGAAATGAATGGTGTATTCTGTTTAAGCAGGCGTATGCGCGTTGGTGCTGCAACACCCAGGAAGTCGACTGGATATCAACAACACTATTCCTCACAAGGTACTTGGTTATTCTTTTACAATGCTTCTGTTTACTGATACTTCCAATTTGTTATCATTTGTTTAAGGATCTGTAGCTAAGATATATACTCACCCATCTTTCTTCTTGGACACTTTTTTCCCCTAAACAAATGTTGTAATCCCAGCTAGCTACCTCTTAATTCCTAAGATATAAAACTCATTTCTTTTCCTTTATAAAAATGTGAATGAAGTTTTCAATATATATGTATAATCTGTTGTGCAAAATAAAACAAATATCAATTGCAATCTTGCAAATAAAGTGTAGAAAAATAAAAAGAAAGGGAAGAGAATATTAAGCCATGATTTATAGTTGTTTCTCCAACCCGGAGTACGTCCACTCCCCAAGCCTCCTTGCTCGAGAGTTCAATCCACTAGAAATCTCTTGCTTACGGGTGCAAGATTAAACCAGAACAAACTCTTGCTTGCGGGTGCAAGATTAAACCCTCACAAGTGAATCTCAACTCACTCAACCCCTTCAAGGATTAACCCAATTCAAGAAGAAAATCAAAACCCTTGTAAGACAATCTACCCAAAAGCTTACAAGAAGAAGAAGGAAACCCATAACTGTTTCAAACTCTGTTTTCAGAAATGCTATAGCAGTTCTACCTTCTTCATCATCTCCAGATCTGATTTTTTGGTGTTTTAATAATTGGTTAGGAGCCTTGCCATTAATTGCCCATTTAGCCCTTCAAAGCCACCTCACAATTGCCCCAATTAGGTTCCACCTTATTCTTCTAACTTGTCTTGGAAAGTGCTAAGACATATAGATACCCTATGACCCATTAAGAATGAACAGATAGTTGAGCTGTCAAAATTTACCCTTCCAGAATTTTTGCTTCAAAGCCAGAAATATTGCTTCGAACCATTTTCGGAAAACAAGAGTCCGAGATTGATTCGAACCAAAATAAATTGGTTCGAACCCAGAACTCTGAACAAGGAGAAACATGAATTAATTCTAATCGTGGGGAAAGATTAGAAACCTTGGATTAATTTTCCTGCACATTTAGCACAAAAATAGATTAAACTCTTTTGAATCATGGTTTAAAATCATCATCAAAATACAAAGAGAACCTAACAAATGTTTATTCTTCAGAATCTTGAACCCCTGCCTCTCTGTCTTGGACACCCTTTTTCTCATCTTGAGGATCCTTTGAAGTTGCCCATGTGTCCCATGTTGATAAATCTTGTTGGAAAAGATTCTCACAAGTCACAACTGAAATCTTAGCTTGCCCTTTCCCTATGAAATACCTTGCCAGTGGCTGCTTAAGTTGTTTAAAGTTTTTGTGTCCCCAGGTATTTGGTTTCTTTTTCAGGCAATGGATTTTTGGTATTACTACCTATGTTTTTGTTGTGTGACTAAAGTAGGCAGAAAGTTCCCATATTCTATATTTATTCTGTTTTTACCTGTAATAGATTCTTCAATATAATTCACTGTTGTTTTGACCTCCATTTCGTTCAGAATGAGAGTATTCTCTTGAGTTTTCATGTTATTTCTATGCAGGTTAAAATAACAGTATTCTCTTGAGTTTTTACTGTTGCCTCTGTTTTTGTTGTGTGACTAAAGTAGGTAAAAAATTACTAAGTTCTATATTTATTCTGTTTTAACCTTTAACATATTCTCCTATGAATCACTGTTTTTTTTTTTTATCCTGCATTGCGTTCAGAATGAGAGTATTCTCTTTAGTTCTTATGTTCTTCTAAGTGACTTGCAGTGTTATCACCTTTAATAGTGACTTGCAGTGTTATCACCTTTAATAGTGACTTGTGAACTCCCTTTTTGGCCAACCCTTTGTCTTTCTAAGTAAAGATGATTTTTTATTAAGATTGTTATCATTCGGTCATTGTTTTGCTCATTGTCATGTTTGTGCAGGTGGATACATGTCAAATGGTGCTTCAGCTCAATCTGATGCTGATTCCTCAAACACTACAGTGAGTGCTGCATCTCATTTCATTTTTAACGTTAGGAGCTCCAATATTTTCCTGCTAAATTCCTTTTGCTGTAGATATTCGTTGGAGGGCTTGATCCTAATGTTACTGATGAAGAGTTGAGGCAGCCTTTCTCTCAATATGGTGAAATCATCTCTGTCAAAATACCTGGTGGAAAAGGATGTGGGTTTGTACAATTTGCAAACAGGTAAAATCCGTTGCTTCCTTGTCATATGAAATATGTTTATTAAGATTTTAGTTTATATATGACCAAAAATAGGTTTTTGTTTATGTATTTCTGGAGTTATTCAATTTCTTTTCAACTTCACTAAAACTTCTGTTGAGTTTTGACAGGAAAAATGCTGAGGAGGCATTGGAGAAGTTGAATGGCGCGGTAATTGGCAAGCAGACAGTTCGTCTTTCTCGGGGTCGCAATCCTTCAAATAAGCTGGTATTCTTCTCTCTTTGGATGGAAAAACAGTTATCGTTCAACATCTTTTGAAATATTGTGTTTCTTTATCACCTTCTTACCTGTTGTCTGGGATACTTGCAGTTTAGAGCTGATTTTGGCAACCAGTGGGGTGGACCTTACCATGGAGAGCAAGTATTTGATGGTTATGGATACGCATTGCCGCCACCTCATGACCCAAACGTATATGCAGCAGTGGCTGCAGCTTACGGTCCTTACCCTCTCCATGGCAGCCATCAATGAGAAACAATCATTTCATGGGCGGCGGGTTCCACCATCTTCGGATTTTCCTCATTGCCTTTGAATGAATTGTTACTTTAATTAGTTTAGGTTGGAATTTTTTAATAAAAATAAAAAAATTTTAAATTTAAATCACATTATTTATATAAATAAAATGATAATTTTAT